TATTTTTATTGACATGGATGAACTGTTTGCTATGGCTGGACTGCTTAATTCTTTGAATCGACTAGTTATCAATGGCGTTGCATCTGGTGATGATAGTGTCGATGTCGATGTTATCACTGTTGTCGATGTTGACGTTGTTCTCGATGTCGGTGATGCCACTTCTGTAATTAACGATGTTGTCACTGCTGTCGTTTGTTCTGTTATCACTGTTGTTAATGTCTCGTCTCTTCTCCATTTCACGGGCATTGTAGCAAAAGCGAAATTGTTAACGAAGAGAATGGAAAGAATAAGCATTAAATTAAGATGCTTCATGACGAATTTGAAAAATGTTTATCGGATGTAGAATTAACGACGTGAATCAGGTAATTTTTTCTTATTCTTTATTTTATTCCCAAGTAGAGTGACTGTACGTACGTAGTCATAATAAATATTTTATTAATCGATTGACCATACACACGTACGCCGAAAATAAGCTACCCTTTTAAGCTCAAAAAATGAGGATGTAGCTTATTTCGGGTTACATTTACGGTACATGTATTGAATTGAATATTACATATCGATATTACATAACAATTGGGTATGTGACTAGCGTATACAAGTATAGAACGAGTAATTTCTCATTGTCTTACTTTAAAAGAAGAATTTCCTTTATTTCAGCGTCGTTCTATCGGAGTATTCGATTGGGGTGTAGAGTAGCACAATAATCACAATCACGTATTTGTGTACGTAGTTATCACATATTTTAATATCGATGTCGATAAAAAAAAAAGCGAATCAAGATTTGACTAAATGTATTTCTGCTAGTTCGTAGAACGACGACAATAACTAAATTAAACAATTGTGTGTAGTGAAATTGAGTACATGTATAAGAGTTCTCAATTTGAAATTTTTAGGCGACAGCCAAATTAGCAAAAGGGTTGTGTTAAAATCTACCGTTACTGATTTACCACAACAAAAAGCCAGCCTATAAGTCACTACCGCTACTGGCTTTGAAATTTGTGGCACATTATCCAAGACATCGAAAGAATCACAAAAACCTGATCCAAAAATTGCGAAAGGTAAATATTAAACTGCAAAAAATATTAACAGATAAATTGTTGAAGAAGACCAAATAAAAACTTGTTATTTATGCATAAGTAGCCTTAAACGCAAAACATTCAAAAAATTTTCTTTCTTAAATATCGATTTCTTATCGTAATTATCAAAATCTTGGGTTATCGTTAATTGTTAAAAATAAATTATTAATAATTCTTGCTTACACATGTACATGTATTAAAAATAACAAAGGTTAATCTTAAGTGCATTTGCGTGTATCGGTATTTAATGATTGTGCTCAAAAAAAAAAGATGATTGCACATTTCTTATTCACGTATTAATGGATCTGTTCTAGTTAAATCGTTCACAAACAACAAAAATAACGATAAACAATAATTTTTATGATAAATAGTATTACGATTAAACGATTTAATTTCGAATGGTAGAGCAACGCTAAAGAACGAGTACGTACTTATCACGATTTGCTCATCGCACCGTTTAATATGCTATCATCTTTCTGTGGTCGCTTTTTAGGAAACGTCGAGGCCACAATTTTGGTATTCTTTGAAGAGCGTACTCAATGAGCATGCTAACATTTATACCAAATTATTTATACAAGAGATATTGATGTAAGCATGTACATATCAATGAATCGGAGTCTTGCAAATAAAAGTAACATTTACGTAAACTTTTCAATTTACTACATATACTTGGGAATTGCCAGTGTTTTTCATCTCTTGATTTCCAAGTATTACAATTGAATAAGTATTGTTTTTTATTATTTAATATTTACAAAAAATTGCGCATTTATTCATAACCAATTTCTGTTGTGACTAACGCTAAATTTAATACATTGATCTACGTTAACGTTAAGTGTAAAAAGATTTCGATACACGTGCACCGGCCTGCAAAAATGCAGTAAACAATATAAATTCAATGGAAAATAAAATTTATATTGTCCTTCAATATTTTCCAAATGTTCTCTATTGGGTTCAGGTCTGGAGAATTAGCCGGCCAGTTAATAATCGCGATTTTATTTTCCGTTAACTATTTCTTAATTTTTCCCGCAGTATGAACCGGCGCATTGTCTTGTTGAAAAATTGCGTAACTTCCAGTTAACTCCCTAATTGCGTTCTGGAATGGAAATAAATGAGCTTTTAAGATTTCAATGTAAGTATTTGCAGTTATTTTTCGCCATTTTTTTATATTCATCACAAAAAATTAGAAACACCACCAAGCCATTACAGATTTTCATCCACTTTTAAAGGTAGGAGCCAGGCAATTAACATTAAACTTTTTTCTAGGATGCCGCCAAACTCTTGGCTGCCATAACTGCTTTCCAACTTCAACACAGGTTTCATCAGAGAAAATTTTTCGCCCAATCTTAATCTGATTTATTTTTATTTTCTACACCATTTAATACGAGAATGTGCATGTTTTTCCGAGATATAAGGATTTCTTTGCTGCGATACATGAGTTAAGTCCGGAGTTGTATAATACATTTGCGGCGTTGATAAACTACAAATGAGGCCTAAATTGTTGACTATTTCGTGTAATGGTGCACGTCTTTTTCGTTGGCTTCATGTATAAGTAAATCCTTTTCTTGGTTTTTATGGACTGGTGGTCTTCCTAAATGTGATACGTTTTCACTTATTTCCGTTCGTTTATATTTGTTAATAAAGCGACGTATCGTTGTGGGTCGCGTCCAAGCATTTTTGATTTGAGCGGCATTTGTGGTTTCTATGTATACCAGAATCTTCAATTTCGTTAAGTTGCGTATAGGTGGACGTCATTTTTTTATCTAACGAAATTATAGTGTTGACGAAGTTGTAACAGGTAAAACGAATAGATCGGGCTATACTTTTTTGGGTTACTGTTAATGAAGTGTTTACTTAGGGGAGCATCAAATATCAGGTGATTCTTAGAGGTGATGGGGGTTGTTGTTGATCAGCAGATTCTACAAAATTATGATATATTATGACTCATCTTGATCAGGTAGGGGATGGATAGGGTGTCTCTTTAATAAATGAAAATCATCTGATACTTGGTGCTCCTCTTAGTTTTCTATCAATTATTTGTGACACCTAAATTCTTTGATATTTTTTATTAGATTTGTCTTGTTTTTTACTTTTCTTTTAAACAATCATTTTTGAGTATCCTAATTCGTTACATAGATCATCCCGGTCCAGGTGTGTTACATTTTTCATAAAAATTGGTGAATTTCTTGTAAGACAGATGCATTATAAGGAAAGTGTATTATAAAGAGCATTTCTAAATCAGATGATGTGATATTACAAATAAGTTTTTATGAGATTATATATTAATTTAATGTAAATAAGATAGCTAAACTCAGTTATAACATGAATAAAAAACTAAATATAAATAATTATATTTACAATTATATTTAATTTACATTAAAATTATTAAATATTAAAATGGAATTTTTATGAAATGTGGAATATGTAATAAAAAATTTTTTTTGAATATGAATAGCAAGTATAAGTGTAATAATATTATTCAAGTATTTATTAAGTTATTAATTAATCTAATTACTATAACTTATTTTTTTATAGCTAGAAGATCAATTATATTTATATATATTTTTAATACAAAATTATTAATACAAAATTATTGATTAATTAATTATATTTAGTTATAGTTAATTATAATTAATTATAGTAATTCAAGTCAATTATAATTAATTATAATTAATTATAATAAAGTATAAATAAATATGAATAATAATAATTAAATAAAGATAAACTTAAATAATTTTTAAATAATTATAGTAAATTTTAATTAATTATATTAAATTCAAATAAATTATAAAAAATTATGAATAATAATAATTAAATAAAGATAAACTTAAATAATTTTTAAATAATTATAGTAAATTTTAATTAATCATATTAAATTCAAATAAATTATAAAACATTATAAGAATTATAATAAATTATAAAAAGTTATAATAATATATAATATTAAATAATAAGTTATATAAAAAGTCACATATATAAAATAACTTGTTTAAATTATATAAAAAGATCATATTATTTTAATTTATTTAATAAAAATATAACTAACTAAATAATAAATAATTAAATTAAATTATTAAAATATTAAATATAATAAAAGTAATTAATTATAAATAAAAAATATATTATTGAATATTATATTTATAATAATACATATTATATTCTAGTTAATTAAATAAATTATAAGTATTATTATATATTTAATACAAAAATATTATTAAAACCAAATAATTTTATTTAATTTTTTTATATATTTAATTTTTTTGTATTATAAAAAATAATATAATATTAAATAATCAAAAATAAGCAATAATTATTATAAATAAAAAATATTTAAAATATTTAAGAAAAATTAGCTATTTTTACTTATTTAAATAAAATTTTTTTACAAATATTTGAAATATATTAGAAATATTTAATAATTAATTCAAATAAATTAACAAAAAAATATTTTTTAATTTTTAATTTATACTAAAACCAAATTTTTGACAAAAATTTTATATATTATTTAATTAATTTGATTAAAAAGATAAATAAAATATTATATTAATTTAATATATTCAATAAAACTATAATTATTTGAATTATTTACTTAATTTAATTAAAAATACAGATAAAATATCATATTAGTTTAATATACATACCCCTATACTATATTTATTATTTTATTAATAAATATTTTTTATTTTTATACTAAAGTAAAGATAATAATCTATATTTTAATATATATTCTTCTAAAATATATATATTAAAAATATAGATTATCATCTTTACTTTAGTGTAAAAATAAAAAATATTTATTAATAAAATAATTAATTTTAATATAAAGCAATAATATTAATTTTATTATGTTTTATAATATTTTTTTTCAATTTCCAGTAATATAGTGTAGGAGTATGTATCTAATAAAATTATAATATTAAATAAAAGTAAATACAATTAATATTTATATTTATAATTATAAAAAATCTTATTAATATTCTTTTGGCTTGTATAATACTAAAAATAAATTATTTTTAATTATAATATTTAAGCTAGTCAATATTTCTTAATAAAATTTTTCTAATAATATTATTATTTATATAAATAAACAAAAATAAATGAATAAATTATAATAAAATTCTTTTAAAATTATATTATAAATATAGTAATATTTATAAATTCATATTTATTCTAATATTAAATTTTTTAAGAACTATTTTATTAATTTAGTTAAGTATTAATTTGATAAATATAATATTAATATATTTATAATTTCAAATATATTAATTTTACAAGTTTAATTATTTAATATTTTATTAATAAATTATTTAAATCAAGATATAGTTAAATTTATCTATAGTTACTATTTTTAGAAAAGTAAATTTTAGTGATTATAAAAAAATATAACTATAAAGAGATATTTTATTATATTTATATATGAATATAAAAGTAAATAAAAAAACTATATAGAGATATAACTATAAATATATATATAATTATAAAGAAATTTAATTATATATTATAATTAAATTAATATTGTTACCGTTTTGATGGGGCTTTCGAAATACTCAAAGGTATTTATAAAATTTAAGGAATATTCAAAGGGAAAC